GGTCTCTTACCATTTTTATGCACTTCACAGTCTGTGTTCTAATTTTAAATTAGGGTTCTGATGTGTATATTTATATGTAGCCATTCTTGAGTCAACCTGTAACTGTAAGCCTTTGGGGAGTGATTGTGTTTGAACATCTGGACTCACCACATGTTTTCAGTTGGAACTGAAATATCATTTAGAAGACCTTAGTTTTTAAAGGGAAGCTATGGTGATGACACTCTATAGGTGCTCCAGATGATAAGAAATGTATTCTTAACATATGATTTGGAATTTATTGCAGCAAATAGGGCTGTAAAAATGCTGTTTTAGATTGAAATAGTTTTACTAACAGGCTTGCCATATTTCTTTCCTTTGCTTCACACAATTAAATGTTCTGATTACTGTTTGAACAAAATAACAAAGTGAATTATAGGACAACTTATATTTTCTGTGAAAAATTAATATTTACCTTGCAAAAAAAGAATCTTTGAGATACTATCAATTTAAAAGTACATTAATTCATACTTTGTGTTTATTAAACACACTGAAAATTACACACCTCTTTTTGAGGTGTTAATATAATCTCTTTTAATCACAAGTAGAAATTTGCCCTCTTCATATATAATTGCCGAATGTTTAGTATTTTTAAAATAATACTTAAAAGAGAATATAGATCCCATCCTTCTCTTGTAGGAACTGAATTAACTTCTTTATTGGAACCCTATGGTTTGTATTTACAATGTATATATCTGTCAGCAGAAACTAATTAATTGGAAGCTGTTACCTTCTAAGAGAAACCTTAAAGCATGTAATATTTGCCTGTGCAGATTAAAAAAAAACACTGGGAGCTAATTTGAACAGAACTTTTCTTAAATGTCAGGAACCCTTTAATCTAATAAAGAGAGTTCACATAAGGGAAGACTCTTTAATCTCTGACTTTTCATACACTACAAAACTAACAATTTAACCTTTCTCCATATGAGCATGTTCCTTTGCTACATTATGTATCCTGCTATTACAATCACTTCTGAACTAACGTATAAGCTAAGATGATGTTGCCATTTTGCATTTACATGGTTTTAGGAAAGTAAATGAACTGTTTTAAAATTAGGATTGTTTCCATTTGAGAGTTCACATATATACTCCCATAATTGTGGTTGCAAATAAACCTCACTTTGCCTGGTGGTTAGATTTCTAACTAGTTGTGGATCAATGTTTTTAGTAAAGTAATAGTCTTTAATGTATTTCAATAAAGTTGTTCTTTAAAAACCATTTTGACTATCTTTCTGGGGAAAATACTTTTTAAGCTAATAATAAACTTTTCAAGTTAGCATTTAACTGAATAAACAGATTTTACTGCCCCAGCACTCCTTGAAGTAGACTATACCTATACTTATAAGATGATTGTGTAATTTTGCATTGAAATATTATTAATTATTTCCAAAAACAATACAGAGATCAAACAGTTTTGCCCTTGAACAGTTTATGGGTATTTCAGTCTTTTGTAACATGACCGTTAAAATGTAGACTGCAAGTGACTTCAAAACAGCCAATCAGCATTTTACAATTATGATAAATCTTAACCTACTTGAACAGACTATTATATTTTGCTTGTAGATAATTTAAAATACAACAATTATTTCAGTCCAAAAAATTCTTCCTAAGGGTCAGTGTTGACTAGTGCCTGTGGGCAGCATGAAAAAGCTGCTTCTTGCCAGTTCTATGTCACTGAGATCAGCAAGAAGCTTTGATTTCCAGGATCCACACCACAGTCTAAGAAGATTTTTAAGCGAAGTAACTGAACCAGAAAACTAGCTGGAGGTCTCTCATTACTTATTCTTGCTTGTTATTTCAGAATTTTTAGTTGTAGCTATTTCTACTCATGCTTCAATATTAATATTATCATGAAAAAGGGCTGGGGATTACAGTCTTTTTTTGTGGTTGTTGAGACTTCCAAAGGAACTGCTCATGATTCCAATGAAAGACTCATGTAATACCCCCAGAAATATCAAAATAAAATTCCTGTTGAAAATCAAGAAGGAACATTTCAGTAGACCCATGCCACATCAATGAAAACAAAAACTAGTTCAACAAATTATAAATAATTGATGTAGTATACTTGCAGAGGACAGAGTTTACATCCCTCTCAGATAATAAGGAAATGAAGTATTTTGTTTTTAACTTTTGTTACACCCGCCAAAGCCTCAAAACTAACTTAACCAAATTCCTTCTTAGCTAACATGTTCTGCATCAGATTAAAACTCCACAATGTCAAAAAGAGTGTTACAATAACAATATTATCTATTCCGACATTGTTACAGATCCAGATAAGCTTACAATTTCGGATCTAGCTCAAACCTAAAGTGACATTGAAAGAAAAGTTTTTTTACGGTGGCTCACACCTGTAATTCCAGCACTTTGGGAGGCCGAAGTGGATTGATCATGAGGTCAGCAGTTCAAGACGAGCCTGGCCAAGCTGGTGAAACCCCGTTTCTACTAGAAGGACAAAAATTAGCTGGGTGTGGTGGCAGGTGCCTGTAATCCCAGCTACTGGGGAGGCCGAGGCAGAGAACTGCTTGAACCCGGGTGGTGGTGGTTGCAGTGAGCCAAGATTGCAACACTGCACTCCAGTCTGGGCATCAGAGCGAGATTCCATCTCAAAAAAGGAAAAGAAAAGTTGAAACTCTAAAGAAATTAAGAGCAGGGACATATTCCTGCCAAAATATATCAGGCAATTGTTGAAAAAGTACTTTAAAGTATTATGACTACTCCAATAATTTTTAAAAGATTCTGTCTAAAATAGTTTTCAATTCTAAGCCCTGAAAATCATATCAGACATTTGTAAAGTTCTGACAGCTGGAAAAACTAGGGAGTTTGAAGAAATAAACATAATAGTGAATGTTTATAAATCACTAAGTCATGCATATTGATTTAATGTGTGTAAATATAAAGTTAGTGCTTTCATAGTGCATCCAAGAAGAAAAACTAGCACATAACTCTTTTTGAAGAAACGAGATGACTGGTTTGAACAATTTTTATTAAGTAATTTTAAAACTAATGCTGGAAAGTTTCAAAACAAAAGCACATATACCATTGTGTTGAATATATGTATTCCTTGGGAAGAAAGGAAAACATTATATGAATATTAATAAACTTTGAAATAGTTTGTCAGTGACTTTTCTAACTTTATAACTTCAATAAATCTTTTATGCAAGATATAATTTTGGTAATTGCATATTCAAATTTAGTAACTAAGTAAAAAGAACATTTATTTTTGTACCTCATATGTGGCCACTGGGATTTCATTCATGCTGTAGAAATGCTATTCTTGATACCCTGTTTTCCTTCCAGTCATAAAAGAGAATATAGAGTTTATGTTTATTGGAATATTCTTCCTTTTACAGACTGTAAAACTTCTATCTCCTCTATTATCATTCACTTTCATCTTTTGAATAATTTCACATATTGACATATACTTCACATCATTTTCTTGATTTTTTGGTGTACCCTAAGAGAGACTCTAATTTTTTACATTCATGCCAGTTACTAACTTTTGAAAAGTCCTACGAAAAGTCACTGTAGTAATAATTCATTCCTCCTTTAATTTTCATATCCTCAGTCAAATGAATATTTTACACACACTCCCCAAGGACTTAAACCTTTTGTAAGTGAAATAAGTCATGCACAGGAACAAGAATCACAAGTCTTCCGATGAATTATGTATTTTTAAATGCAAATGGTTCTATTTTCACAATACCTCAGTGTTAAACATGTGCTCTGCTAGGATCTGCTTTAATCTTGTGTTACATATTTTATTGTACGCCAAAGTTAAAGCCATTAGCTATCCAAGTGTCACTCTAATGATGCCCGATTATCAGCATTTAAATAGTTCATGTGTCGTAATTCAAATAGGAACAGCTTTTACATAAAATACGGTTAAGAGAAAGACCATCGTAGACACACATGGATGGAAAAATACATATATCAGTTTGGGTAAATTTAAGTTAAAATGTCAAGAAAAAAAGAATTATTAAATACTTCTAGTGCTTTTAGCTTTGATTATAGACAGCAATGTAATTATACTTCCAAGTCATTGGGACCTTGAATGGGACAGCAGAATGCAATCCAAGTTACAAGTGACTAATATTATCAAAACAGAGCAGAAGAAAATTGTACAAACCTGTTGATAATATTACTCCTATATTCTCTATAGACTTTCAACACATTCTTAGTATGTTTCTGTGATTACAGTTGTCCCAGCCATAATCAACAACTCTGAGTGACCTCACCTGAAAGCCAATTTTATTTTGTAAAAACTGACAGGTGAAGATGGAGCCCAGTAATAAAACCAAAGGTAATTTTTATGGAAAGCAAACTCGAGACTCCATGACATCATATAGCATGTGAATTATCACTATCTTTGCATTTTCTCTTACTCTTACAAATATTTCACATTTGTGCTACCTATTAATGATACATGTATGTGCCCATAACACCTTCTTAATAAAGGCTACAGCAGCATATTTTTCTGATTGAGGAGATTATCCCACATGGTAATGATTCGATCAAACTCTTCAAGTTATGTGCCTCATCATTAGTTTCCCCAAACTATAAAGCCAAAAAAAAAAAAAAAGCTACTCAACATATATACAGTACAGTCCTGTAGCAAGGGAAGAATTATGGCTTATCCAAATGACAGCGAATAATTCAGTACATTGAGAAAAAATATATACATATGAAATGCATCACAGATCCCAATTTGAGTTCAAGTTCCCAACAGTGAACTCAAGAGCTCATGGAAAATACAGTTAGGTAGATTCCTGTTAGCAAAGATTTAGTAGTGGTTCCTGCATTTAATGACAGTTTCTTTTAATGAAATTATTTACTTGAAGAGAGACTAATGTGAAAGGAAAAAAGCAGTTCAACATACACCAGGCACAATACGAAAAAGTATTCATAGTTTAAAGTGTGTTAAAGTGAATGATGTCACAAATGGATAAATCTTAACTGCAACTTACCTGTAGTAGCAGAGTGTCTTGACAGTGTTGAGTGTCGAAAAGATGCAAGTCTCTAAATTAGAAAACAAGGGAGTGTTTGCGCTCCCAGTTTCACTGGGAGCACTAGCAGAGCTAGTGTTCTATGCATAAGTAATAAATTGCCTCGTCAAAGTCATCCTGGCCACGGTGTTCATGGGCAATAGTTAGAATCACTGCCCGAAGGCTTGCTTGATGCTGCTCCCACAGCCTCTGCCTTTGCACAGAGACCTAACGTAGGAGTGTGCCGGAGAACATCCCTTTCCACCCCCCTCTCTCCCCCTTCTTTTTGCGTGGTCTTTCTTCTTCTGTCTCTCTCTCTCTCACGAATGGAGAGTTATCCTTTGGTTCATTCGGCAGTCAAAGAGGACAGGCTGGCAGGCAACAGTGCAGCTCCCCGCATGCTGAGCCACATGAATGTGTTGTGAATAAAGACAAAGCCCCTGAACCAGTGCGGCACGTTACTCTCTGAAAAGGCGCTGCAATGATACTCTGCACTGCAACTCCTCAGGCAGGCAAGCAGGCAGGCAGAGAGGTGGACTGAATTTCCCTCGCTCTCCCTCCTAGGACCGTACATTATGAAGTTTGGCTCAGGACCTTGCCTCTCGTCTAAGAAACCATATTTTCTGTGGGTAAAAAATTTTTTATTAACTCTCTGGACGCTCTGAACAAAAGTATTTTAGCTTTCTACTCTGCTAAACTTGGAAAGCCTACCTCATCTCCAAGTTGTCACCAAAGTAACTGAATTTTCTAACTTTAGAAGATAAAGATCAGGTGTGTTAGGCCACAGATAAATGTTTTCATGGTAGGGGAAGATGAATTTCTCTAGTCTCTGTATTCCTGAGGGACTAAGTAGGGAGTCTTGGGGAGAGGTGAGCAAACAAACAAAAAGCATCCATATCTCACAGGCGCCAAAAATAGAAACTGAGATAAACTAAAGTGAAATTGATGAACGAGTCTGAAAGAACATAAGTGCAAAGGATTGAACAGAGTAAATTAATGATACTCACCGGTTTTCTATAGCTATCATTCAGTTTTGGTAACAGAAAATCATCCTACTTAAAATATACTTCATGTTTTATGTGGCTTTTGTGTTAATATACAAGTAAACATAGGCTAACATATATCACAGATTTAAGAAAGATTTAGCAGATAATGGCCTACAGGCATTTGCATAAGGAGAGTCAGAAGTTGTTTTCATACTAACAAAACTACAGGCGGTTATTAACCTATGGATACAGAGCTTTGAGATGCATACTCCCGAATACTGGTCCTAATCAATGTATACTGTAATGATGAGACTTTTAAAGCACAATCATATAACGCAGGCAACAGTATTTGGTAAAATAATTAAGTATAAGTTAGGACAAGACCTTTCCATGAATGCCAAAACACCTGAAAGTAAATAGTCGCTGGACCAAAATATAACTTTATTTCTCTCCATCATGAAAATGAATTCTGGAGCTAAGAGTTCCAGGGCTGGATGCGAGCTCCATGGTATCAGGGACTAGGCTCCTTGTTGCTCCACCATTCCCAACACAGTCCAAGATAGTTACAGTTACTCAAGCTGTAACCACTAAATTGATATTGAAACTTCGGAAGCAGAGAAGAATGAGGACAACATGTTCCCTGTTTAAGGACATACCTTGGAAATTGAACATGACGTGTCTTTGACTAGAAATTAACCATATGGCCAGATCTTACTGCAAATAAGAATGGAAGATGGAAAAATAGAGTGTCTATGTGACATGGCCATGTGTATGGCTAAAAATCTGAGGATTCTTTTACTAAAAAAGAAGAAAATGAGGGAATATGGGGGAAATAATAGTATCTGCCATAGTAAAATTAATGGATATTGTAAGTGATATCAAAGCATCCATTCCACCTTTATTCCATTTTGAGGTGCAATGTAATTTAGGGAATTGATTTCATATTGAACAGCAGATCTTGTTGAATCTAAGCCTACCATGGTAATAGCATCATACTTGCAAGTAATTGGTTAATAAACACAGACCTGAGCCAATTACGGCATGATGTTCACTTGGTGATAGTTACTGGCTCAAGAACAGCATATTTTCTTATACTTGCCCAATGAAACAGAATGGAGAATAAATTGTTCATTAAGGAAGATATGAGTTAGGATCCAATTTTAAGATCAATATGACAATTTGGAGACAAAGAAAGAAACTAGATATTTGAAGAAATCAATGCACGTTTGGATTAACCAGCTCTAGACTCAACTTCTAGTTAAGTGCACCAATGTGTTACATCACTTTTTAAGTCACTTTGATATCCTTTCTGTTAGTAACCAAGGCATTCTTAATGTACATTTAAAAAAATCTATTCTTTAGCATTTGGTATATAATTCCTTGTTCTCAATCCTAATATCATGTGTGAAACTCCATGGTTTGGTGATATATATTTTTCTAAATTAAGAATAGGAAATATCAAGCGCATATTAAATTTCTACTCATTCCAGACTTTCAAACTTTCAATTTATTTACTTAAAATGTTTCTAACAATTTAATTTTCATTGGCATTCCATTGGGATTATTAGAAAGCCAATTTGTTGTTGAGCCAGGGACATATCACGAGCTCAATAGATTTAAATAGCTGCTTCTTTTTGTTAGTTATTACGTCTCAGGATCTAACTAGAATAATAAGCTATGCTGTATAGCTTTCTCTCACTTCAGTCTGTGACAATAAGTGTTGTATTTTAATAGCTAACATTTGTCCATGGGTGTGTTTACCCTATGCCCTATCCTGCTTTAAGTTTTTATAATGTATGAACTCATGTGATCTTCACAACAGCTTTATGAGGAGTATATTATTATAACCTCAATTCATTTATGAACTGAGAAATGAATTCACACATTGTCTTAGTCTATTTTGTGTTGCTATAAAAGAATATCTGAGACTGAGTAATTTATAAGGAAAAGAGGTTTATTTAGTTCAACGTTCTGAAGGCTGAGAAGTTCAAGGGCATGACCCTGGCTTCCAGTGAGGGCTTTTGCACTGCCTCACAAAATGGTGAAGAAGGTCAAAGGGGAGGTAGACACATGCCAACAGAGGCAAACCTGAGGGATGTCCTGGCTTTATAACAACCCAGTCTCTCAGGAACTACTCTGTTTCTGTGAGAACTAATCCAGTCTCCTGAGAGCAAGATTTAATCACTATGGAGAGAACAGCACCAAGCCACTGATGAGAGATCCAATCCCAGACCCCAAACCTCTCCCTGTAGGCCTTTCCTTTCAACAGTTTTGGTGGAGATAAACACACCATATCCAAACCATAACACACAGATAAACAAACTGGTGCAGGAAGAGATCTAAATAATCAAATGTCTATTAGGGATACTGACATCACAATAAAAAAAACCTGCCCACAAACAAAACAAAACACCCTAGGCCAGACACCTATACCTGCCAATTCAATATTTAATGATAAAATGCACCAATTGACACCAAAATATCATAAGTCCTTTCAGCAAATGAGCCAGAAGAAACACTGCATGGCTAATTTTATGAAACCAGAATTACCTTGATACCAAAATCAGAGAATGAAACCACAAAAAGGAAAAGGATGAACAAATATCTTTCATTAACTAAAACACAAAAGTCTTTAACTGAATATTGCAAACAAATCCGGCAATATATAAAAAGAATAATATATTGTGAACAAGAGGTCTTTAACCCAGGAATTTGAGTTTGAGTAAATATGAACAAACGCAAACAATATAATTTACCATATTAACAAATCAAAAACAAAAGTTACATTATAATCTTAACTGTAGAAAACATAAGAAAAATTCAACACACTTTCATAACAGTAAATGTGTTCTATTCTTACCTGTTTCATTCAACTTTGTATTCGATGTACAGCAACTGCAATATGATAAGAAAACTTGGTCATGTATAAAGAACATACTAAGTGATATTAAAAATAAAAATATATAAAAATTAATAAGTAAATTTAGCAATATCAAAAAATACAAGTAAATCTACCAAAGAAGTCAATTGTGCCAGGTGTGATGGCTCGCCTATAATCCCAGCGCTTTGGGAGGTCGGTCGAGGTGGGTGGATCGCGACATCAAGAGTTTGAGAGCACCTTGGCCAACGTGGTGAAACCCCATCTCTACTAAAACTGCAAAAATTAGGTGGGTGTGGTGGTGCATGACTGTAATCTCAGTTACTTGAAAGGCTGAGACAGGAGAATTGCTTAAACCCAGGAGGCAGAGGTTGCAGTGAGCTGAGATCACACCATTGCATTCTAGCCTGGGCCACAAAGCAAGACTCCACCTCAAAAAAAAAAAAAGTCAATTGTTACCAGTGAACAATGGTAAAACAAAAGTATAGATTAATATGTAGACATAATTTACATTAAAGTAGCACCAAAAGCTTGAAACACATAAATAAATTCTACAGAACATGTGCAATACCTCAGCACTGAAAACTGACAAAATATTGCCGAGAGAAATTAAAGTAGACTAAATCCATGTTCATTGCTTGGAAGAATCTATAATATTGTTAAGATGCCAAATATCCTCAAATTGAACTAGAGTTAATTCAGACCCTATTATTATTGCAGATAGATTTTTGGGAAATAAACCAACTTATTTTAAAATATATATGAAAATAAAAAGGACCTAGAATAACTAAAACAATCTTTCAAAGGAAAAATATTCTTAAAGGATTTGTCCTACCAATTTTGAAGATTTTAAAGCTACACTAATTAAGAGAGTGTGGTATTGATGTAGGTATAGATATAAAGAATAATGTAAGTCAATAGAGACTTGAGAAAGCCTTTGATTGTGGTGGTGTTAAAATGAATGTATACAGTTCTTCAAACTCATCTAATCATTCACTTAAAATATTTTGTTTGTTTATTTTTGAGAAAGGGTTTTGTGCTCTGTCACCCAAGCTAAAGTGCAATGGCATGATCATGGCTCAGTGTAGCCTTGACATCCCAAGGAGACCTCCCAGGTGCAGGTGTTCCTCCCACCTCAGCCAACTGATTAAATGGGACTACATGTGTGTGCTACCATGCCCAGCTAATTTTTGTATTTTTTGTGGAGACTGGGTTTTGCCATGTTTCCCAGGCTGGTCTTGAACTCCTGGGCTCAAGTGATCTGCCTTCCTGGTCCTCCCAAAGTGCTGGGATGACCAGCATTGTATTTTATTTTATGTAAACTATAGCTCAATAAATTTGACTTAAGAAGAAACAGGAGAGATACTGAGACACTGATCATTACATAACTCGCTTGAGATCACACAGTAAATAAGAGAACTGCACTTTAATCTGATTTTTTTCTTTTAACCATTTTTTATGATAACTCTTAAGTTCAGAACTGTTTTTTAGTATTAATAATGAGAAATTTAAGTTAAATGATAGTATAAAAGTAAAGGAGAAAATGATGGATATTTGCTCAAACTAGAACTTGAATGTCTTTAGAAATTCCGACAATTCTAGGGATGAACTTCCCAATCTATCTTTCTCCATGATATCTTTGACTTTTTTG